TACATAAAGGTCAAATTTTCTTCTTCCCCTCCTTCCTCTATTTGCCCTGTGGCATATTCAAACAAGAGACATTGGTGAAGAGAAGATTAATTTCATAGTCATACACTTATTTTTTGCCTTCGAAAACAATTTAAACAAAAAAAGAATTAAATAAAATTGATTTGGTGTATAACATTATGAATTTCTGTGTAAAAACTTTACATTCTTACTTATATTTAAAAATATTGAACAACTGAAAAAATAAATCGTACTCAATATTGAACAACTCAATTAATTTTAATCTTCTCTTTATCAACTATGTCTCTTGTTTGAATTGCCAAGCTCAAATAGAGGAAGGAGAGGAAGAAGAAAATCTGACCATTTTGTACAATCATAGGTAATAAAAATAATGAGGGTGGGTGGGACAAGGATTGAAATTACCCGAATTTCTGTTCCAAAATCACAAGTTCTCATTCTATGAAGCATTCCGAGATCAGTAAGCCATTGTTGAAATTCAGTTTCGGGCAATTTAATTTAATCATGTAATTTAGTTAAAGTAAAATTTTTTATTGATTGTAACATTTTTAGCGTCTATAACGTTTAAATTAATTGTGAACACATATTTTTCAAATGGCATACAAAATAATCCTTTGATAGTTAATTGCTACTAGCAAAACTTGCTGAAAGCAAAACAACAAAACATTTAAAAAGAAAGGAAGAAAAGTCCGCAAAAAAAAGTCCGCAGAAAGGGCACCTCCATCTTCATAAGTACCACAATTTTATTTTATTATGCTTTGTAATAGATTTGTTATGCTTTTATTATTTTACAAATACTTTTTATGTTTGTGTCACTACATTGTAAAGTTATAACAGGCAAGGGCGTATCCAGGGGGTCGGTTTCGGGGGGGGGGGGGGGGGGGGCTAACACTGGGTGGGCGCAAAAATTTTTGGCGTTTACCTTGGCGTTCCTACGGCAAATTTTTTTGTACATAACTTTTTAGATTTTCAGCGCCGCAGGCGAAAATTTTTTGAATTTGGAGGGCCGTAGGCCAAAAAAGTTCACTTTTTAGCGCCGCAGGCGAAAATTTTGAGGATTTTGGAGCTCAAGAAGCCAGATTTCTTCCATTTTTTGCGCCGCAGGCGAAAATTTTTTAAAATTTGAGGGTTGTAGACGAAAAAATTTCACTTTTTCGACCATCCTTCTCCTAATTTTTTCCCCCTTTCCCCCATTTCGGGGGGGGGGGGGGCTCTAGCCCCCCCCCAGCCCCCCCTGGATACGCCCTTGATAACAGGTACCTATAAAACATTTATAAAATTTAATAATCTAAGCTTTAAAATTAATAATTATTATTTATTTATTATGATTTATACCTTAGACTATGTCTTATTAAGAATTCCATGAATTACATGCAGTTCACATTGATTTTTTGGACTCAACTGATACCCAATTAATGTTTGAACTAGTTTGGCACTTATAGCATTTGATCATTTTATTTAGGTTATAAATTATTTTATAAAATATAGTATTTAAAAATTTCGAATTATTTTTACTAATACAAAATATTTATTGAGATCATTTCTTTAATTAAAAATTATATTTAAAATGTTAGATTTTATTTAATTTATAAAATTTTTATTAAATATTTGAATGACTTGGGAAGATTTTAAAAGTTCCGTCCGCACTCCATTTTTTAGCAATTTATTATATAGAATATTTATATATCACAAATTTACGTATATTCTTTATATTATTTTAAATTATTTAATTTACATAAATTTTTATAATATTTTTTAATTCAACTATAAATTAATTATTATATTTTATTAAATAAATTTGAGAAGCTAAACAATTAAACAAATTTTATCTGTTGCTTACACTAACTTTTCTAGTTAAATTGTAGCTTTGTTTTTATTCATTTAATTAGGTATTTTATAAATTAATAATTATATTTTATTGTTGATACATAATAGATTTTCAATTTAGAAATTGTTAAAAATATTTTAGTTAATTTTAGTTATAAAATTTTAGTTATTTCAACTTACACGTTTAATTTTAACATAAATGTGTTATTTATTAAAAAAATAGTACGAAATAAAGATCAATAATATATTTGAAGAAATGTGAGTGTGCCCCATAGGAGGAGAGAGAACTAATGCTGTTGGTGTTTTTAACTAGCGCCATATCTCTCGTGCTGACCTGAACCACCCCCCTACACCAAGCATATACTCCAACCCCCTATATATCACCCTCCTTTCAGAACATAATCCTATACATCAACTCTATCTTTGAACAACGGGGAGTTGTTTTTTTGAAAAAGCTCTTTCTTTTGTTGAAACAAACTACAGATCTCACGTTGTTAAAACATTGAAAATATTTACCTAGTGTTTCCGTAAATATAAATACAGGGTGCGGCAAAAGTTCCCGTACTTTTATTATGCATAAAATTTATTTCAAATATTTTTTTTAATTTTATAAAATCTATGAAAAGGTATTCATTACTATCTAAGGAAAAGAAAAATTATAACAAATGTCCAAAATTTCTTCCCTTCGCCAAGATCATCCCTTGGCATAGCATCCCTTGGCATAGCAACACTTCGGTAAAACCAATTTTATGTTGTAGCAAAATTGGGCTACTTCACATTGAGCAAAAACAATGATTGACCTCTGCGAAGAGTTGTTTCAGGATTTTGGGGCAAAAATCCTTTAGCCAAGTAAATCCCCAGATCAGAATGCTATGGACTAGTAGTTTGGTAATTATTGAAGCAGAGACTTTCAAGGATACAATTTATATCAAAAAATTTTATTAAGAGGAATTGCAACTAGTACATATTAGTCAACTTAATAATTATTATCAGATAATTTGCAGTTTATTTATAATTAAATAATTTTGCTTGTTGTACAGTTGTAACTCGAAAATGTTTTATTATTTGGCCAAAATTTTACAAATTTGCAAATATTTTATAAACATCAAAAAACTTTGGATTATATGTAATAAAATTTGTTTACAAAACATAAAGCCAACGAAACGTTAATAAAAAAAGAAAAAACTAGAGAATATATGTTAGTAAATATTTTTTCTCAAAATTTTTATTATCACCATTTTTATTATTAAAAATTTTATCTTTCTCTATTAGGCTTTATTTCAGTATGTTTACTTTTTCAAATTAACTTTTTGTATATATAAATAAATTTACAATAATGGGAATTTTTATTAAAAAATTTTTTTTCAATCATTTCTTTACATAAAATATACAAAAATGAATTTAAAATTTATATTTTTTGCTTGTTTGGCTGCTGCTATTTTTACTGAAAATAATTGTAATTTGTAAAAATTATATATTAAAACAGATTTATTTTAGTATAAAAAATTTTTTTAATATTTTCAATTTTTTTAAAAACATTTTTTAAAGATGCTCTAAAATGTTACAACAAGAAAAATAAAATAGAGCAGTGTTTTGGCATGCAACCTATGTGCTTGACAATGAAATGTGGTAAACATATTGGTATGTTTGAAAATTATAAACTTGGTGGTATAAGAAATGAAACTCGAAAGGAGTTATGATTTAATTAAGTTCCAATTTGTCATTTGTGTTAAAGAATAAAATTCTTTACATTAACATAAACTTAATATTGTTTACAGCAATTAACAGGAATTTTTGTGTAAATCAATTTAATGATTACATAGTAATCGAAAATTCTCAATTACCTATTCCATGTTTCTATTATCTCCTGAGGGCCATTTTATTAAAGTGGCCATTCAAATTGAGAGGTCCATTGTATTAGGGATAATACGGTACTAGCATCCTTATAATAATTTTTTATAATTACTATAGCCTAACTACTAAAGCGCCATTTAAAATTAAGAAAAAAATTTTAAAATTTTTTAAATTTTACCGTAACAGTATTCTCTCTAATTAAATACAACACTCCAAATGAATGTCACCCTCTAATAGAACTTTAGAAGGTGATTGAAATGTAGTAAATTAATTAATTTAGTAGCCAAATGTTGTATAAAAGATCTCGATCATTTGTGCAGCTATAATAAAACTGTTTGCAAACAGGAATGTGCTAAACCAGTTGGATTGAATTTTGAACATCCTAAACGTCCAAAACCACCGTGTCCCGATTTAGACAGCTGTTCTTATGATGGATGTAATAAGTGAAGTGACAAGGAAAAACTGGAAATCTTTAATTTGTTATTACAAAAATGTTGGATTTATTAAATAAAACTTTAAAAAGATTTTTTTACATTTTTTTAAATTTTTACATCTAAAAATTTTCTAAGTTAAAAAATTTTCTCTTTTCAAATAAAAACTTCCATCGGTTTCAAAAACAACTGAAATTTGTAATACATAGATTTTAATTAAAAATAAAAGCAAAAATTATCCAATAGAATTTTTGTAGATATTTTACATCTATTTGCATATTTGGTTAAGTTCTATGAAAAAATTTTTAATTTTTTATAAATACTTTAAATTACATATTTAACATTTTTATTCACATAATATCATCCAATTATTAATTGTAATAATTGTAATACATAGATAATAATACATTTTTAAATATAATACATTTTAAAGTATAATACATTTTAATAATATAATTTTAATAATAATATTTTAATAACATTTTAATAATATTTTAATTTTATAATACATAATACATTTTTAAAGTATTTTAAAGTACTTATCATATTAAAATTTAATCGTTATTCTAATTATTTCAATTTTTTTTTTATTTTATGAAGAAATGTTAAATACATATCCATCAAAAATAAATTAACTTAGAAGCAATTACATATGTATGTATGTATAAATTTCATTTATTTAATTAATATATTTCAAATTACATATGTATTATTAAATTATTATTAAATTAAAATTATTAAATTATTATTTATTATTCCTTTAATGATTAATTTACATCATTTTATTAATTCTTCATAGATTCAGCACACATTCACAATTAACTAAATAAATATTTTTAATCAAACATTTAAATTAAATTTACCTTTTCAATCTCATCCACTTCTAGGGCAACATCCATTGCTTAAACAAGCCCCTTGGTATTTTATACAATAATAATCTCTATTGCACCACAATTTACATATTTTACGACAATTAAAGTTTGAACAACAGCTACCGTTTATAGTAACCACAAAAATTGTTAAAAGAACGAGAATAATTAGAAAATATTTCATAATTATCTAGAGATTTTTATTTTTAATTTAATTTTTGGTTAATCCATTTTTTGATAATTTTCAGTTAATGGATTAATCCATTTTATAATTCATTAAGAAGGTGATATCATGCTAGTTCGCTACACTCGATCGTCTAGTAACTAGAGTTCCACCACCGTCCCCGTTTCAATGGCAAAATCTACAACAAACACGGTCCCCGTGAAAATAGCCACCTGACCGTAAAGTTGGAACCCTAGTAGTAACCGACGAGTAAATTTTTTAAAATATTTTGTTTTATAATATCATTCTCGGTTTTAAAAAGAACCCCATATAATTCATTTGATGATTAAAATATAAGGGAAGGCAAAGAAGATTTTTATTTTGGGGATAACTATTTAATAGAATTTATATTATAATATTTATATTTATTTAAAACATTAAAAATATCTTTAATTTTAAAGCTTTAAAATATTATTTTTATTTATTTATTTGCCCAAAATCTTGTGATTGCTTTTACTAAAAAAGTAAAAATAACAAAATTTCATTCTTAAAATCCAAAAAACGTGAAAACAATGGATTTGTTTCTTTAATAAGATTTCAATCAAAATAATTTTTATTATTCTTTGTCAATTCAATATCAATTGTAATTGTTAAAAAATATTTACAAAATAAATAAACAAATATTAAATTTTATTCATTTTTCCTACTATGTCATGTAATGAAGGAACAAAACAAGGAAGTAAGCTATGATATCAATAGCATTATGAAATTAAAAATTGAAAATAATAAAATGTTGACATGGACTAGAGCTAGTGACGAGAAAAATTGACTCTTTAGTTTCTAAGTAATTTTCCTGAATCTCTTCAATGTACTTCTGCTGCTGACCATTAATTTCTGACCACAAAAATTAGTCAAACATTTTATGGGTTGCCAGATTGCTCAGACTGATGAAATTAATAGAATTTTATTAAAATGCTAAGTGATATTAAAAATCTCCAAATGTTACTACAATTTATGTAAATTTTTATTAATTGTGGAATCACGATACCTAATAAATTTTGAGAAGCACATAAAAATATACTCATTTTTAATTTATAACTATTTAATTTAAAAAATTTTCTGAAAATTTCCATATGAATTTGTATTAGATTTATCACTAAACATGTATTAAAAAATTAAATTACAAATGCCCAAATCTCATTTTAAATTTCCAAGAAATTTCAGATAAGTATAAAAAATATAGAATGCAGAATTTGGTAGTTATGTCTAGAGTAAGTCGAGTACCGAGTAATTGGGAAAAAACCGAGCTCGAGTAATCCGAGTTTGAAAAACCCGAGTTCGAGCTCAACTTTTTAGGCCGAGTTCGAGTTCGAGTAGTCGAGTAATCGAGTAGTTTTTATAAAACAGTATTTTAAAATAATTTCGATAAAAACAATACTTTTACTAAAGACTAGAGTTGATCAAAACGATCGGCCAACCCGAGACCGAGATTGACCGATACTCAAGAACCCGATATCGAGACCGATACCAACATTTTGAGCCGAGACCGAGAAACGATACTGACTGAGACTAACAGAAATTTTTATTTTATGTCAAAAAATACGTGTAAAAATAATTTATATATTATTTTCATCATCCAAATCATCAGATAAATACTCTTCATCATCTGGATCCGATCTGGCTTGGCAATGAATACTAATTTTTGTCTCAGTATCAGAATAGGTATATCCGTGAGTTCGACATCCGTATCCAATTATATCCTTACAACTTTTGAGGCATATCCATCTGCGGATATCTGCAGATAGCTGAAGTGAAAATTTCGGTTAACCAACCCATTATTTCAGCGCCGTAGGCAAAAATTTTTAGAATCTTAGAAGTGCAAGTCAACAGATTTCTTCCAATTTTCATTGCCGCAGGCAAAAATTTGTAGTTTTGAAAGTCCAAGAAGCCAGATTTCTTCTCATTTTCAGCGCCGCAGACAAAAATTTGAGAATTTTAGAAGGCCATGAAGCCAGATTTTTTCCAATTTTTACCCTCAGATACGCAAAACTCAATGCGCTCATCCCTGCTTCCGATCGCTTTAAATCCCCTTAATCCAATAGTGGGAACAACAGTTGCCGAAAATCGGAAGGCTCTGAATCAAAATCTTGAAAATCTAACGGCCGAGGGCTCGGAAAATTCAACATTTGAGCGCCGCAGACGAAAATTTATTAAATTTTAGAAGACCTTATTCGAAAAAAATTCACTTTCTCTGTTATGGACGGATATCCGAAAAAAATTATGGAAGAAAACTTGGACAATATTGAGAATTTTGTTTCTTTGAGTCAGTATCGTTTCTCGCCGAGAAATGGACCGAGAATATCGGTATCGGTTTCGAGACCGAGAATGAAAAAACCGAGACCGATATTGGAAAAAAGCCGAGAATCTCGGTATCGGTCTCGGTATCGGTCTCGTCTTGATCAACTCTACTAAAGATTATTCATCATCAGTGCCGTGTTTTAGGCATTTGTTGGCAGTATTGCGTTAGATCTTCGTCCAAATCTCAGTTATTTTCGTTAATCCGTCTATATCCCTCTTAATCCGCAGAAATTCCATGATATGCACACGATCCATGTTGAATACGGGCTCCGGATTCAACACTATACATATATTGGTAATATAAAAAATAAAAACTATAGCAAAATCTTTACTTGAAGTCCTGATACCTCAAAAGTCATCGTAAATAATTTATTAATTTAACGTTTAAGTTAAATAGATAAATTAGTAAAGTTAGAAAATCTATAAATCTTTTAAAATATTTATATACAAATTTAATCAGTTTTCTTTTTTTATCAGTTATCTTTTATTTTAGTGAAATATTTTTAAAAATAAATTGATTTATAAAGAATTACAAATAATATTTATTTAAAATAGTTAGTATAAGATATATATCCTTGATTATTTACATCATTGTATTTATTTTTCATAAAATCATCACACATTCACAATTAACTAAATAAATATTCTTAATTAAAAATTCAAATTAAATTTACCTCTCAATTTCATCCACTATTACAACAGCCATTTTTTAAACAAGCGTATTGGTATTTGGCACAATAATAATTTCCGTTGCATCTCGCTCTACATGTTGAATAACAATTAAACTGATCACAAGTAATACTATTAACAGTAACCACAAAAATCATTAAAAAAGCAAGAATAATTAACAAATATTTCATAATTATCTGAAAATTTTAAATGTTTAATTTATTAATTTTTTAATTAATTTTTGGATAATTAATTTATGAAAAGGATCGTTAATGGATATTACCTAACATGGTATTTTTTAAAAAGTGTGTGGATATAATGCTGATAGATTATCCGTGTTATTCTAAAAAACTTTTAAAACCGTTCTCTGGTTTAATCAGATATATCTTATTAAATTAATGATTAAAAAGCCGTGAAATTATAAAGCTATTGTAAGGATGATTCACCTAGCAGCATTTAAAACGTTTAGACGGGGGTTAAACGATCTAAAAGGATAAAAGAGAATAGTCGATGCCCCGTTAGCTCTGTAGTACAGTTTCTGTATGTGGTGAGCTAAAGCGCCTAGCAATAACTCTCAGCAGGGCCCGTAGAATAAAGGCTGGGTTGGATAACCCGGTTGAATAACCTGGTTAAACAACCCAGGGGCAAATAACCCTTAGCTACGGGTTAAAATCGGTAGAATAAATTCAGCCCCGAGTTAAGGGTTATTTAACACCGAGCTAAAGGTTATTTAACTAGTTGAGTTAGTGGGTTATTTAACCCTTTATATTTTATTGCCAAACCCATTTCGCAATAATTGTTTACGCAATAATTGTTATTATTAAAAAGAGATATAGTCAAATGAAAAAGTTTAAAAAATTAATAAAATTTTTAAATGTTGAATAAATTTTGTTTCAAAAATTTTTATAAAAGTTTTTGTTAAAAAATTTTTGCTGAAAAAATTAAAAAATTTTCGTTAAAAAAATTTTTTTCTATGCGTTTTGGATAAAAATTAAAATTTTTAAAAATTTTGAAATTTAATAAATGTTTTAATTTTTTGGAAATTATTCATAATTCGCATGTTACCCTGCCCCCTAGTAGGGTTGCAATTTGCCCCTTACCTGCGGGTTATTCAACCCGGGTAAATTTATTCTACCGGTAATGTTACGCGGGTCAGATAACCGGGTTATCTGACCCGGTCATTTAACCCGAAGCTAGGGGTATGAATTTATTCTGCGGGTTACGGGTTATTTAACCCCAAGGTAGGGGTTAAATGCCCTTTACCCCGAATTTATTCTACGGGCCCAGGGTCACAGGGTCGAATCCTGCCCATATATTTAAGAAATTGAAATATTTTCAATTTTTAAACCCTAAAAATAATTTATTTATTGTTGATAATTAAAAAATAAAATTTGTTTTAAATCGTTTACTACACATGTGATTTATTAAAGAAATAAAAATAACCAAATTTTATTTATAAATTCAAAAAAAAATTGTGAAAACAAAGTTTTTAATCAGAATACTTTTTTTATTTTTTGTCAAATTTTCATATTAACGTTTACTACATATACAATTGTTCAAAAATATAGAAAATTTAAATAAAATAAACAAAAATTAAATTTTATTTTTTATAATAAATAAAAAATAAAAATTACTAATAAAGGAAATAAATTTTTATATAAATTTGATATTGCTTAGATGTCGAGGATTTTTTTCCTTATCACAAAAAACATTAATCAATATTAGTCGAATACTTTTGAAATTTTTGTCGATTTTTACATGTACGTCAAATGACATTTTGATTATTGAACTTCTGAGAGCAACCTAACAATTATGTTTCTATTTATAAGAAGATAAGCCTTCACAATACAATTATAATCCTGCTAAAACGGTAATACTAATAAAATATTTTAAGAATTTCAGAGAAATATGTAAATATAATTTAATAGAGATTGAAAGTTCTGAATTGGTTTTAACTAAATTATTTTTAAATTTAATAAATTAAAACTTCTCCTTCATTTCTCCTTACAATAACTAAATTAGCGTAACTATGTAAATAATTTCCACACAAATTAATATTAAAAAATTGTCAGTTGAAAATGCCTTGTTAATTTTTTACAATTTTTATAAGTAATAATTTAAAAAAATTTATGTCTGATTTCAAGGTGATAGTTAAGGAATGATGTTTCCCCAGAAATTCGACAATAACAAAAAACTTGAAAAGTAAAAGTTTCTATATAATTAAGGTAAAAATATAATTCTTTTAATTTTTAACTTTGAATATTTTGTTTAATTTTAAAAAATATTTTTAATAAATTAAAGAAATTTCATAATTATAAAATGAATCAAACTCAATGTATTGCTGCTGAGGCATCTGTCCTCAACACAGAATTTAATATCATACGAATATTGTTTATAATTCTGGGTACAATGGTTATTTTACTACTTTTACATGTTATCTGGTCTTACAAAACAAATCCGCTTAAATTGCATACAAATATAATTGTAAGCTTTTATTTATCTGAGGTTTTCTTTTTTAAAATTCAAATTGAACGGACTAACCAAGATAGTCAAAAATATATTAAGACATGTGATACTGCGCGGAATTTTATAATAGCGCTCTCACAATTTTCCTTTGGAATCCTGACCCTAAAAACTTTTAAAGGTAAGAACGCATGAGGGATCCACCAAAGAAGAAGTTACTAATTAAGAGAGTCTTTAATTTCTCAGAATTTTGTAGAAATTCTGTATTTAGTTTTGAACTTGTAGTGCCTGCTTTACTTATCCTTTAATTGTTGATAATAAAATTATTTTTAATATTTAAGATATTAATTAGCAATGTACTTTTTCTTTATGCAATTCTTGTACTGTCATATATGTTTGAAGCTTCTATGAACTTTGTGAGTTAAAATTCTTAAAATCTAACTTAATTAATTTTAGTTTGTTTTATTTGCATATTCGGATCCATGTGATTGTTTAATTCAAGTTTGGTTAGTTTATTTGCTTAAAATGCCATCCTATATTTATACTTGTGCTTCTCCTCTGTTCCATTTTTTTATAATGATTGAACGTGTTTTGGCTACTGTTTATGCTAAAATTTATGAAAATCAAGGCAAAATGTTTGGTGTCGTCAGTACAATTATTGTGGTAAAATTTTATAGTTAAACTTCGTTTTATGGTTCTGATTCGGATATGGATCCAGATATAGGATGTCATTCGAAAGAGCTCGTCGAGCTGAGTCGAACGACACAAGACTCATTTATGGACCGAGATATGGGTCCCCAAAATTAGAAAAACCATAGGGGGGACCAAGCACTTTCTTGTGGTGAAAAATTCGAATATGCACATTTCGCTCGAAAGATCTCGTCGAGCTGATGATTATTTCTTCGTTCATAAGCATCCAATCGAGCTGATTTTGGTGTCATTCAACTCAGCTCGACGAGCTCTATCGAATGACATATAAATCGTCCATATCTGGATCAAAGCCATAAAACGTAGTTAGGCCTAGGGTTGTACCCCGAACGCTCGGGGGCGGGTATGTCGGGGTACGGGGTTTTCCAATTGTTTCGGGGCGGGGTTCGGGTCGGGGGAGCAAAATATGGCCGGGGTTCGGGTCGGGGTACGGGGGTTTATTGGAAAAATTTTTAGAGAAAAAAATGCTCAAAAATAATTAGAAATCGATAGATTTTCGTTTATTTATTCAAAAATTAAGTAGCATTTGAAGAAATTAGAGGGGATTTGAAGGAATTAAAGTGTATAACTTGGGATATAAGTGGATCTGGAGTGATTATGTGGGATTTTTAGGGCTTAAATGGTATATCTAGGGATACAAGGTGATCTGGAGTGATTTTTGTTGGTTCAAAAGATATTAGTGATTTATAAGGATATTTATGTATTGCGGATAAGGGTATTTAGACGGATATCAGTGTATTTAGACGGATTAATCCTTAAATCTCCCGCGAAATCCTTGTTAATTTTGTTAAATTCACGTAATCCTTTCAAATCCATTTTAATCTAAACTTTATATCCCTTTAAATCACTTTATAACTCCTTAATTCTTCGATATCCTACAAATCCCTTTATATCTCTGATTCCCGAAAACAGGACCTCAATAGTTTTCCAACTTTTATGGTTGAGAACTGGTGATACAGGAGGTTTGAAGGATTAAGGGTGGTTCAAGGGATATTAGTTAAAAATAAAATTAAACTCGTTAATAATTAATTAACTCGTTAATAAAATTACCTAACTCGTTAATAATTTGTTTTTGTAAAGAAATATAAAAACAACAGAGTTCTCCTTATATGGATCCGAACCCAATCCTATATTAATGAAATATCGGCTAAAATCAACGAGTAAGCCACTCAACCACAAGTCTCTTAATAAACAAGGAAAGAAAATTATGTTATTTCATTCATTTTTCTTTCAAAAATAATGAAAGCAAAGTAAAATGGGTGAAAATTTTTTAAATTTTCTTCATTAATTTCTCCAAAAAATGACATTTTTTAGGGGTATAAAACCCCGATAACCCCGAAACTTTTTGGGCCGGGGAACGGGGTTTTCACTTTTTTTCGGGGCGGGGTTCGGGTCGGGGAGAATCGTGAAAAAATCGTTCGGGAACGGGGTCGGGGTTCGGGGTACGGGGTCGGGGTACAACTCTAGTTAGGCCAATTTTATTTCTAATTTTTTTAATTTTTTAAAATCTTAGTGGGTGATAACCTTGGTTTATTGTCTGTACGTTTACATTACAACAAGAATAGATACTAACACATTCAGCCATCCAATGGTTTATACAACATTAACAAGCATTTATAATTCTCAATTACTTATTTATCTTTCATTTATTTTCTTGTTTTTTGGAATATGCATTTCTATAGCTGATTATTTTTTAATTCTTCGGAATCGAAAAATAAAATCAAATTTGTAAGTATAGTCGGACCTTAAATTTAGATAACACAAAATCAGATGGAGTATACTTAGCTTTAACTACCTTTGTCATTTATGCATTATCAGAAACCACCTGTTTCGATAACCTAGTAGCTTTATGAGTATTTTTCAGTTCATCGAAGTCCTAATCTAGGTATATTTGTAAATGAATATTCTAATTATTAAAGTTTCAACCCTTCAACAAGCTACTACAGTTTAAGTAAGAGTTATCAAACTAAACAAAACATCCTTCTAATGCGAACAATTTTTCCTCTGGATTTTTCATATTCCTTTGTTTTTGCATTATATAATATTCTATCGACTATTGTACGATACAATCGCGATGAATACAACCAACTTGTTTTTATCCGAAACTTTCAAGGCATAACACTGGTAATTATACTACATATGTATTATATAAGCTTGACTTGTCATTTTTAATTGAGTGGACGGATTTGTCTTCTGATTTAAACAAAGTTCACTAATAAAATTGCAATCAGAATTCCCTTGATTGAAATAGTCCTCCTTCCTAAGCTTTTGCTTTTTTATAAATAGAAGTGAGAAAATCCCAAAAGTACAAAACCCAAATAAAAAATTTGCTAAAGCTAGATAAGCTCTTTCAAAAGATAATCTTTTTTCTGAAAATAAATACTGTAGGAGATAACAGGAATATTACAAAAAATATTTTCCTTATTTAAGTTGCTTTTCATTCATGCTATTATAACATTAATTGTATATGACTATTTTTTGAAGAAACAGAATGAAATCAGGAAGAATTTTGTTAAAATAAATATGAATATTAGTTCTGAAATATATTTTAAAAATTTAAATCTTGCTTGGAAATAAATCTTTGAATAATTATTTTTAATTAAAATTTTATTTTTTTTTCATTGATATTGAATTTTCTCGAATTTAATTAATCTGAATAATTATAGTTGAGATTTCTAATGTCGGCGAGCACAACAATGATTCGCCAGAACCGCAAATTTGGCCGGAACCGGAACTGAACTTTGTTAAAAATATTTTTAATAAAAATTTTTACTGTAAATCATTCACTATAATCATAAATTATGGTGGGTTACTTCTGTAAGTCTCGTTCCTTTTTGGTTTATAGATTCCTCTTAATGTAGTACGAATTTATGGCGCCGGAGGCGCCATAAAGTGAGAAATACAAGTGAGAAATGACATGATTTTTCAGGCCAAATCCACAGATATGCAATCCCTTTTTCTACCCTACACCAAGGTGGCCTTTTCCAAACCACTAAAATGGGATGGTTTTTTTAATTCAAAAAAATTTTTCTTGATTAATATTTTACAGTGAAAATTTAAAAAAATGAAAATTTTTTACATTTTGGTATTAATTTAACGTTTAAGTTGGATAAATTAGAAAAGTTAGTTCTTTTATTTCATGTAAAATATTTTTCAAGGATAAATTGATTTATAAAAGAATAACAAATTTTATTTATTTAAAATAGTTAGTATAAGTTTTTTATATATATCCATGATTATTTATATCATTTTATCTATTTCTCATAAAATCCTCGCACATGTACTTCAAACATCTGAATATTCTTAATTAAACATTCAAATTAAATTTACTTCATAATTTCATCCATTTCAACAGCACGAATTTTTTAAACAAGCAATATAACAATCAAAATCTCCGTCGCATCTCATTCTACATATTGAATTACAATTAATTTGACTACATCCAATACTATTAGCAGTAACCACAAAAATCATTAAAAAAGCGAATATAATTAACAAATATTTCATAATTATCTGAGATTTTTATCTAATTTATTAATTTTTTAATTTAATTTTTGGATACTTAATTTATGAAAAGAATCGTTTAATGGATATTATCTTTATCTAACATGGAGATTGGAAAAGTAGATATAGTGATCTCGTCTATGTCATTCTAAAAAACTTTTAAAACCATTTTCAGTTCTAATCAGATATATATTATTAAATTAATTATTAAAAATCAATGTAATTAAAAAGCAATTAAAAAGCTTTTAGCTTAAAAGTTTTGTTTTGTATCTCAGTGATAATTATTTCATAGAATATATCAAATATATATATATTTAGAAAATTGAGTATTTTTAATTTTGAGCATTAAAAATTATTCAAAAAAAAATAAAATTTATTTTAAATAACCTCACTAAGCATGTGATTTATTAAAGAATTAAAAATAACCAAATTTTATTTTATAAATTTCAAAAAAATGTGAAAACAAAGTTTTTAATCAGAATAATATTTTTCTCTTTTGTCAAATTTTCATCTCAACGTCAATTACAATTGTTCAAAAATATAGAAAATTTAAATAAAATAAACAAATATTAAATTTTATTTCGATAATAAATAAATAAAAAATTAAAATTACTAATAAAGAAATAAATTTTTATATAAATTTGATATTACTAATTTAAATTTTTTTCATATAACAAAATCTGGATGAATTTTTTACTCCATTTACAGCGTATCTGCCATATTTTTTATCCTTTGGCATTTAGTAACTAAAATATTGAAAAGAAATTTTTAAAAAATTCTGGCATCTTGGACTTCAAAATTCCCAAAATTTCGTCCTAAGGCGTAAAAAGAATCGAAATCTTCGGACATTAGCTGTTAAAAAATAAAATTGAACATTTTCGAAACTAATCACCTCTCCACCCCTTCCCCTTTTTTTGAAACTTTTCTCATTATTTCTAATTCCGATTTGCTTAATTCAGTGAATTGAAAGAGAATTTTCATAGTTCAACTTTCGTTTGGAGTTAAGTTTGATTTGGTTGGAGTTGAGTTTGATTCAGTTGGATTTAGTCTCGCTGTTTAAAACAGTTTTATATCATTTTTAACAACTTTTTTATAACAACTTTATATCCTCATTTAATATTCTTTATCTCCATCAAAATTTAATTTAATTTTTAGTTACATGAGTGCGAATGACGTTTTGATTATTGAACTTTGAGAACAACCTAACAATTATGTTTTTATCTATAAGAAGATAAGCCTTCATAGGGGAGCCTTATATAATTGAAATCCTCATTAAACGGGAATACTAAAGTATTTTAGAATTTCAGAGAAACATGTAAGAATAATTTAATAAAGATTGGAAGTTCTGAATTTGTTATAACTAGGGTGCGGCAAAATATGCACGAAAAATCCAAAAATATGCGCATATATATGCATCGAAAAAGCCCAAAAGATGCAGTGAAATATGCAAAATTTTTCAAAATATGCACTGGATATGCACTCAAAATTGGCTAAATTTACTTAAAAAAATGTGAATTCAAGCAATAGAATGCTTGATAATTAATTTTGGCACCCAGAATTATAAATTTAATCATTTTTTAGTTATTATTTTTTTTTCTAAAAATTATTTGATTAATTAAAATTTTTGTCAAAAAATTTGTAATTTTTTCGTAGAAAATTTTTGAAAAAATTTTATATTATGACAAAAAATAATTTTAGCTACAAATTTCTCAAAAAAATGCCCAAATATACTCTAATTTTGGTAAAAATATGCAAAATTTCCCAAAATATGTACAGATATTCAAATATGCACGGTAGTACCGAAATATGCAAAAATATTCATTAAGAACCGATGTAAAAACACGTACCGATGTAAAAACACCATTTTTGAGCGTTTCAGCTCATGGCATATCCACATGCAAAATATGCATTTCCATGTTTTGCCGCACCCTAGTAATAACTAGATTATTTTTTAATTTAATAAATTAAAATTTTTTATTTTTTATTTCTCCATACAATAACTAAATTAGCGTAACTATGTAGATAACTTCCACACAAATTAATATTAAAAAAATTGTCAGTTGAAAATGTTTATTAATTATTTACGATTTTTATAAGTAATAATTTTCAAAAAGTACTAATTTCAAGGTGATAGTTAAGGACAGATGTTTCCCCAGAAAAAAGTTAATAACAGGAAATCATTAAAAGTAAAAGTCTAAACATTTCTATATAATTAAGAAAAAAGGTAATAATTTTTTCTCAACTTTAAAATTTTTTATAAAATAATATTTATTCATTATTTTTAATTTATTTAAATATTTCGTTTAATTTTGAAAAATATTTTTAATAAATTACAGAAAAAAATATTTCAAATTTAAAAATGAATCAAACTCAATGTATTGCTGCTGAGGCATCTGTCATCAACACAGAATTTAATATCATACGAATATTGTTTATAATTTTGGGTACAATTATTATTGTACTACTTTTTCACGTTATTTGGTCTTACAAAACAAAATCAGTGAAATTGCATACAAATATAATTGTAAGGTTTTATTTATCTGAGATTTTCTTTTAATATGCAAATTTGTTGGATTTATCAAGATTGTCAAAAATTTAATTAGACTTGTGACCGGCACGGGAAAGGATTCTGCGCGGAATTTTATAATCCTGACTAGGGTTGCCGTTTAGAGTCGGGCCGACGGTCGAGTCATTCTTTTCGTGCTTCATTTTTAACGAGTCGGGCCGGTACGAGTTTTTTTCGGGCCAAAATTCTTAGGCCCGACTCGATCTTTCGGTTCAAGTCGGGCCATTTTGGCAACCCTAATCCTGAAACTAAAAATTTTTAAAGAAAATCCCGCAGAAAGGATCCCGTGAAGAAGATGTTTATGTTACTAATTAAGATTAGGGTCTTTGTAAAAGTTTCGTACCTGAGTTTTTAATCTTGTAGTGCCTGCTTTGCTTATCCTTTATTGTTGATAATGAACTAATTTTTGAAATTTAAGATATTAATTAGCAATGTACTTTTTCTTTATGCAATTTTTGTACTGTCATATATCTTTGAAGCTTCCATGAACTTTGTTAGTTATCATTCTTGAAATCTAACTTAGTTAATTTTAGTTTGTTTTATTTACATATTCGGATCCATGTGAATGTTTAATTCAAGTTTGGTTAGTTTATTTGATCAGAATGCCAGCCTATATTTATAATTGTGCTTCCCCTATGTTACATTTTTTTATAATGATTGAACGTGTTTTGGCTACTGTTTTCGCTAAAATTTATGAAAATCAAGGCAAAAAGTTTGGTGTTGTCAGTACAATTATTGTGGTAAAAGTTTATTTTTAATTTGATTAATTCCTTAAAATCTTAGTGGGGGATAACCTTAATCTATTGTCTTTACATTTATATTACAACTAAAATGGATACTAACACATTCAGCCATCCAATGGTTTATACAACATTAACAAGCATTTATAATTCTCAAGTACTTATTTATTCTCCCTTTATTTTCTTGTTTTTTGGAATATGCATTTCTATAGCTGATTATTTTTTAATTCTTCGGAATCGAAAAATAAAATCAAATTTGTAAGTATAGTCGGACCTTAAATTTAGATACCACAAAATCGGATGGAGTAAACTTAGCAAATACTTTTCTCGTTTAGACCTAAGCAAAACTCCCCTGTTTTAATAACCTAGTAGCTTTATGAGCATCTTTCAGTCCAAACGGGATATCTAAAATTGAGGTCCGAATTTCTGTACATTTGTAAACACATATAAAATTAATTATTAAAGTTTCAACTCTACAACAAACAATTACAGTTTAAGTAAGAGTTATCAAACTAAACAAAACATCCTTCTAATGCGAACAATTTTTCCATTGGATTTTTCTTATTCCTTTGTTTTTGCATTATTTGATATTTTATCAACCGTTATACGATACAATCGCGATGACTACAACATGCTTGCTTATGTCCGAAACTTTCAAGCCATAATATTGGTAACTATATCATTAAGCATAACTTGTTATTTCTTAATTTATTCTTAATTGAGTGGACGGACTTGGATTTACGTTTTCAAACAAAGTTCACAAATAAGATATCAATCAGAATTCCCATGATTGAAATAGTTTTACTTTTTAAAGTCCTCTCTTTTTATAAAAAAATAAAGGGAATTGAGAAAGTCCCAAAACTACAAACCGATATAAAAAATTTGCCGAAGCCGGCCCGGACTTTAAATAGAACCGGAACGAACCGATCAGATTTTCTGGATTAATCCGGCCCGGAAACAATGTGTGTGTTTGGGCCACTATATTTATACTGGCTAACCCACAACCGTCGGATCATTCATAACACATAATCGACTGAGCTAAATGAGCTCTATCAAAAGATAATCATTTTATCGGAAAGAAATACTGTAGGAGATAACTGGAATATTACATAAAATATTTTCCTTATTTAAGTTACTTTTCATTCATGCTATTATAACATTAATTGTATATGATTATTTTTTGAAGAAACAGAATGAAATCAGGAAGAATTTTGTTAAAATAAATATGAATATTAGTTCAGAAATATATTTTAAAAATTTAAATCTTGCTTGGAATTAAATTTTTGTATAATTATTTTTGATAAAAATTGTATTTTATTTATTAATTGATGTTGGATTTTCTCGAATTTAATTAAAGAAACACAGCACGCCAATTGGAACGTGCTGGCTAGGGCCTTTCCATTTGGGGTATTTAGTAAGACTTAAGTCCGGGATACCTTTCACCTTAAGCTCTGAGGGTTGATCAGGTCCTCAGGCTTGCCTAAGCATGATGTTACCGCTAAGTTATTTAAGCGCCTTTATTCATATAGGAAATATATTACATTAAAGATGGAAATAATATAAGTGTTAGGCCTAACTCTATCTAATGGGAAGAAAGGAAATCGTTATATAATGAACATTAATGGGCGGATAAATAATAAAACATTACAAATATGTTTACTGGGAAAATAGCATTAACGGAAGTGTTAATCAAAGTGCTCTTTAGCCTTTGGGTCTAGAGTCCACCTTACACCTCCAACCCCAGGGAAGACCGTCCCTGGTCTTAAATTATCTTTTGCCAAAATTTCCAAAATTGCCAAAATTTTCATTTTCTTTAATTTTCTGACTGGCTTTCCACTTTTTTTATTAGCTCTTATCACCTCTTTTCTAGCAGAGGATCATCCTTGATCCTAAGATGTATCTTACAGACTGGTTTTTGCCGAAGCCTCCAGTCTGTCTTAATTTCTTTTTTAAAATGTTTTCTTACAAACTGGTTTATACCGAAGTCCCCAGTTTGTTTTATTTTTAAGGCATTTTCTCTGCTTTTAAATAGCGCTGATTTTGTGGATAGCCAGTCTTTTAAATTTCCTTTTTTTGATTTTGGCAACTTGTAGAAATATTTGACTTATTGAAGTATTTTGCTATTTGAGCTTTAGAGCACTTTGTTTTGAGGGCATTTGGACTAGCTAATTAATACATAAAAATTTCACAATAATAAAAAACATTCTGGCATACCTAAGTATATTGGAAAATAACATTTGTGATTTCTTAAGGGATAAGTTGATAAATATGAGGGTTGGTAGGAATAATATTTGCTATAAATTTATGTATAAGTATTATGGAAAATAAGGATTGTCTCCAGTTTTTCCATCGTAATTATACAGATTTAAAGCAGCTATTAAATCCATATCTTAATTTTGTGATAAAATTTGTTAAACACTATAAAGCAATCTTTAAAAATATAAATATTATCTCTGATGAGATAATTATTTAGTTTTTGAATGATTATTTTATAATGCCAAAGCAACTTTTATGTCCTATTGGGAATCATTTAAAAGAATAATATTGGTTTTATGGAGTCGTTTAGGTAAAGCTTAAGTACTGAATAAATAAATTTGAAACAAACAGAATATGATAAAATTAAAAGTTATATAACATGAGTTCTTCTGTATTGCCTAAGCCAAAAGCATCCAATTATCCAAACCATCTATTTTGATCTGCCAACAAATGCACCGCATTGACATGAAAAATATATTTTGTTTTGTGTATTTTTAATTAAACTTAAACCACAACTTTACCCAAGAATACCAAAGATTGCGCCTGTTCTTTGTGATGTTGGCACTTTTCATTGCAATTTTTGACTAGTTTACATTGGTCCATATTCTTGGAACATACATTTTGTTTGTGTTCATTGATATGTAGGGACAGCCAAAACATGCAAATGCATGTTTTGTATGCGGATATGCCTTGAAGTGGGAAGCTTAAAAATGGTGTTTTTACATCGGTCCTAGCACTTTAGGACCCGGTTCTTAATGCATATTTTTGCATATTTCGACCATTTCGTGCATATTTGCATATTTGTGCATATTTTGGCAAATTTTGCATATTTTGGTCCATATTTCGGCATTTTTTGGCAAATTTTATTGAAAATCGGCGAAAATTTTCAAAATTTTGGATTTTTTTGGTTAAAAAATTTTTTTATAAAAAGTTTATGAAAAAATTTTTTCGAAAAATTTTTCGGAAAAATTTTCTTTAATAAATTTTTATGCAGAAATCTTAATTCCATAAAATCTTTAAAGAATTCTTTTAAATTGCGGTTTTAAAGGCTAATTTAGTGTTTTAGACTCAAAATATTGATTTTTAAAGCATATTTTAACTATTTTTGGTGCATATTTCAGTGCATATTTTGGCAAATTTTGCATATTTTGGTGCATATTTTGGGCTTTTTTGGTGCATATATATGCGCATATTTGGCGATTTCCCGTGCATATTTTGGCTGTCCCTATTGATATGTTGTCACCTGAAAAATTAAATGTTAGTATTCATTTATTAATTTCTATTAAAATCCTAATTTAAACTTATCATTTTCATTACTTTTCATATCATCGTTGTTATTTTCACATTAATTTAAAAAATAAACGACCACTTTTAGAAGGTTTTGAGGATTGCCGAAGCTTGAACAGACATAAGAATTTCTTGAAGTTCATTAATAATTTCCATTCATTTTCAGGTCATGAATTTGTTCAGACAAATTATTAACCATTTCTTTGATCTCTTCTAACTCATTTTTTAACTCTTCAATGCGATAATCTTCATTGTATCCTTCGACCTCGTTTTGAATTTCAAGGCAGAATTCTCTACAATCAACTTGCACATGTCCTGCTTGATGACAATATTCACAAATTAAATAATTACTTCCTTGTTCAATGGGTTCATGTAAGCATGCATTTTCCGGTGGTGGACTTGCCGAAGCATTTGAAGTTCCTTGAATCCAGCTTGGTTCTATTAACTGAATGTTTGCTTCATTAATTTCTACATTAAAATTTATTTCTAATTCTTGAACATACGTTACGAGCTTGTCAAAGCATTTCCTTCCAATCAAGGGTGCAACTAATTGTAAAGACCTTTGAAATTCCGGCCTGACCTTCTCAATAAAACATCTACATAGCGTTTCTTCTTTTACCTCTTTTGTGACATTAGAAGATGTCGAATTTACAAGAGGAATTAATCGTTTAATGAACTCATCTACAGATTCCCCTTTCCTCTGATAGCAGGCAGCTAATTTCCTGTAATTTAACTCACGAATATGCGGTCTATCTAGTTTGGATCTAATATTTATTAAGGCATTTTGCAATGTATTTTTCCCCGTAGGCGCTAAATTTTCAAAAATATTTCTTGCTGTCTTACCTAGGTAAAGTTTTAGTCTATTTAATTTTTCAACCTCATTCCAATTAGTACCAAATACCTCTACATAGTCCTTAAACCTTATTGACCATTCATCAAAAGCCGAAGCATCTTCGCCAACAAAGATTTGTAGTTGAGTACCACTTGATCCAATTTCAGTCAGAATATTTAAATAAGAGTTCTTAGTGTTGTTTTCAGACATTTTTGTTTGTAGATGTGTTCTTGCCGAAGCGTGAGCTTATCTCAGTATCCAAATCTTTCTAATAGTTCTTTGAAGTTCTGTTTGTTACACAATACAGAGTAGATAGGATCAAAGACGATCAGAAGGATGTGCAGGTACCTGAAAGTCTCAAAAAATCAGATTATGTTATAGATTATTATTTTTGAAAATTTGAAACAATTTTGTCTAATTCTAACTACATCTACCAAAGTCTGGCTTGCCAAATCAAAGATAAAAGTGCGCAAATACTATACCAAAATTCAGTCTTGCCAAAGCAATTAATAGGTGTTGTCCAGTAAAAGCAAATATAAAGGTTGAATTATTGTTTGATGTATATGCTTGTAGAAAGTTAAGATTTTTTCTGAATTATTTAAATAAATACTAAAATAATATTTAAAAGCAAAAGTAAAATTTGTTATGCCTAGATAATAAATATACATATATTAATTCGAAATATAAATAAAGGTAAAACAGTATTCTCTGGATAAATAATAATTTAATAAAAAGAACTTCTAATTTACAAAGAATAAAAAGAGATGACACATTAAAGTTTTTCTTTTAATTTACAAAAAAAATTTCCCAAGCGTTTTTAAGATAAAAGCTTTGAAGAGAAAATAGAAGCGATGATAAAAGAGAGAACAAAGTTGATAGAAGTTTAAGAAAAAGTGCGGACTTGCCTTGGCAAGTTAAAATTTTTCCTTTGTAATTAATGTGTAATAGCTGGGAAGCAATTTTTGCAAGAAGGAAATATGAAGGAGATTTATCTAAATAAATTATTTGTTGTGCGCAATTGATTTTTGCGTTTGTATTGATAATTTTAAAAACCTATTAGGAATTTTGTCTTCCCGAAGGAAAAATAAAATAACTTATTAGAAAAAAATCCTTAGTGAAAAATAAATGAATTATTCTAAAAAAATATTTAAAAATATACTAAAAATATACGGAATTTAATCTGAAAAATATACTTAGATCAAAATAAACTATAAAGACTCCATCAACTCTTTTTAAAAAAATTTAGTCATTCTTAATCTTACAAGATATTCAGAAAAGAATAAAAAAATTTCTTTTTAAATTTTAGAATTTCCCAAAAATTAGTATTTTAATTTAAAAAAATTTCCAAGTCGAATATTATTACATAAAAATATTAATTCTATTATTTTTAAATACATACAGAAAAAAAAACTTATAAGTGATTTCCTTGCCTAGGCAGATCAGAATTAAATAAGAATTTTTGTTGATTTCTTCAAATGTGCTGAATTTGTGATATATTTTGTTGAATTAATTTTGAAGTTTTGCTTGCCACACAGTTAAGTAAATAGGAGCATAGCAGTAAAAAGCACAGATAACTGAAATTTTCTAAGAATTAGATTAGCGTTTAGAATTTTTCAAAAATCTTGAAAAAGTTTTTTTTAATTTAAAATACCTCCACTCGCAAAATTTTTCTTGCCAAAGCAACGTGTAAGAGTGCACAGATACCAGAAGCGTAGTTTACTGAAAATCTCTAAAAATTAGATTGTGTTATAAATTATTATTTTTAAAATTTGATAAACTTTTTTTTAAATTTAAACGACCTCCCCCAAAATTCAGACTTGCTAAAGCAGTATAAGAATTTAGAGATACCAGAAGTGAAGATCCTTTAAAAACATATTTAAATGCCTTTTTCTAAAAAATGATGCTGTCGCGCCGAAGCAAAAGTATTGTTTTCCAACTAGCAGAAATTGAATGTTGTTTTTGTTTGTTTGTAGCAAAATAAATTTTTCTCATAACGAAATACAAGTTAGTGGTTATCCTTGCCTAGGCAAATCAGAATTCAGGAAAAAATATTTTAATATAGTTGAATTAGCTAATTTGTTGAAATACTTGAAGTTAATAATTCTTGCAATTATTTTCTGAAAATCTATTCTTCTTGTAAGTTTTGTTTGCACCAGGATTCTAGTAAATGTTCAAAGTAGATCAAGAGAATATGTAGATACCTGAAATCCCGAAAAATTAGAATATATTGAAATTATTATTTTTGATAATTTAAAGGAAATTTTTTTTAATTTTTAAATACCTCTACCAATATTCTTCTTGCCAAGGCAAAGTATAAGAAACAACAGTTACCAGATGAGTAGATCTTTCTATGAAGGTTTTGTCTTGCCGAAGCATCTAATAAGTTTTGACCAGTACAAGCATATATAATTGTTGTTGTTTTGTATAAAATCAGAACTACCTAGGTAATAAAGATCTAAAAATTTTAATTCATAAATATAAACCACATTAGAAGCATTAGCTACAAATATTATTTTAATAAAATTTACTTATAAAAAATTTAGAGGCATAAAATAGATAAAATGATGAAACATTAACCCCTTTCGTTTTATTGTAAAAATAAAAATTTCCCAAGATTTTTTTGAAGAAATAAAGAATGAAAGAGCGGAAGAAGATAGAAGAAAAGACAAAGTTTTATCGAGCGGACTTGCCTAGGCAAATAATTTTTCTCTTACTTCTTTGTGTAATGGCTGAGAAATTATTTTTAACAATGAAGAAATAATGAAAAGTTAATTTTATAGAAAATATTAAGTGTGCGTAATTCACAATTGCGTTTTAAATTAGACTTAAAGACTTTTAAGGACTTTTTCAGTTTTTCTACTTCGGTAGTTTTGTTTTTAATCATTCTGTATTCACGAAGGAAAAGTTACATAAAAAAAATTAATATATAAAAATTAGACCAATTTTATTTTCTATACGCCTTTATTTAAAATCTTATTTTATAGTATTTGGTCTTCCCGAAGGAATAATTAATTAAAAAAATAACCTATTTAATTTATACCAATTTCCTTTTCAATTAATCAAGGCGCAAAGGATAGGAAAAAAAGGGATTGGAATGGGAGAGGGAAAAAATTTTTATCTAGCGCTTTTCTCTTTAATAAGGCTTTTTGTTCATTTATTCGGGCTTACTTATATTTCTTTATTTGGGCATTTTTTAATTTGGGCTTTCTTAATTTTTCTCGTTATCTGGGCTTTTTATCATTTATTTTCTTAACATTTGGGCTTCAAATTTATTTTCTTAATATATGGGCTTTCTATAATTTATTCTGAATATTAGGGCTTCCATTAATTTTAATGGGATTTACTTATACTTAAATCTATTTCATTAAATTATTAGCCCTTTCTTTAATAAGCCCATTTAATTTAGCCCAATATATTTATTTAGCCCTTAATTTTGCCCATTGATTTATATAGCGCTTTTATTTTATGCCCTTATTTTATTTAGCCCTTATATTTAAATTAGCCCATTATTTATTTTTAACCTCCGGAGGACATTCTTACTTGCCGAAGCATCCGCGCGGGGAGTTAGCCTATCGCATTCTACCCAGCTCTTAATCTTACCGGCCGCCCAGGCCAATGGAAAGTCGCAAAATGCGAACCATCCGGTGCTACCAGAAACACAGCACGCCAATTGGAACGTGCTGGCTAGGGCCTTTCCATTTGGGGTATTTAGTAAGACTTAAGTCCGGGATACCTTTCACCTTAAGCTCTGAGGGTTGATCAGGTCCTCAGGCTTGCCTAAGCATGATGTTACCGCTAAGTGCCTTTATTCATATAGGACTTTTTTCATATAGGAAATATATTACATTATTCATATAGCGCCTTTATTCATATAGGAAATATATTACATTAAAGATGGAAATAATATAAGTGTTAGGCCTAACTCTATCTAATGGGAAGAAAGGAAATCGTTATATAATGAACATTAATGGGCGGATAAATAATAAAACATTACAAATATGTTTACTGGGAAAATAGCATTAACGGAAGTGTTAATCAAAGTGCTCTTTAGCCTTTGGGTCTAGAGTCCACCTTACATTAATCTGAATAATTATAGTTGATATTTTCTTAAGTCGGCGAGCACAAAAACCTAATTTGGCGTTGATAAATAAGATAAATCTCGTAGGGTGGCTCAATAAAAGCATCAACTTCACTCAAAATGACTCAAATACCTTTGAAATTTTTGTTATTCTTTAGTCTCATTCTTGCTCGTCTACTATGTACATAAACTCAATTTTTAAATGCTTGTCAACAGACAGCTTAAAGACATTTTGATTATTGAACTTTTAAAAACAACCTAACAATTGTGCTGTATCGATAAAAAGTTAAGCCTTTAACAATGGAGGCTTAATACAATTGAGATTTTCCTGAAACGGGAATACTAAAATATTTTAGGAATTTCAAAGAAACATGTAAAAATAATTTAATAAATATTGGAAGTTCTAAATGGGTAATAACTAAATTATTTTTTAATTCAATAAATCAAAATTTTCTCTTTATTCATTTCTCCATACAATAACTGAATTAGCGTAACTATGTAGATAACTTCCACACAAATTAATTTTTAAAAATTGTCAGTTGAAAATGTTTGTTAATTATTTACGATTTTTATAAGTAATAATTTTCAAAAAGTACTAATTTCAAGGTGATAGTTAAGGACAGATGTTTCCTCAGAAATTAGTTGATAACAAAAGGCTTGAAAAGTAAAAGTTTCTATATAATTAAGAAAAAAGGTAATAATTTTTTCTCAACTTTAAAATTTTTTAAAATAATATTAATTCATTATTTTTAATTTATTTAAATATTTCCAATAATTAAAAAAAATATTTTAAATAAATTACAGAAAAAGTTTCATAATTATAAAATGAATCAAACTCAATGTATTGCTGCTGAGGCATCTGTCCTCAACACAGAATTTAATATCATACGAATATTGTTTATAACTTTAGGAGCAATTATTATTGGACTCCTTTTTCACGTTATTTGGTCTTACAAAACAAAATCAGTGAAATTGCATACAAATATTATTGTATGTAGGATTTTATTTATATGAGATTTTTTAACCAGGATACTAGCCAGGATGGTTGAAAAGTTATTAAGACTTGTGACTGGCTCATGATAGGATTTTGCGCGGGATTTTAAAATATCACTCTTGCAGTCAGCCCATGTAATCTTGGTCCTAAAAATCTTTAAAGAAAATCACTCATGAGGGATGCCGCAAAGATGTTTCAGTTACTAATTAAGATTTTTTTAATTCCTCGGTTCTCTGTAATAATTCAATATTTGAGTTTCTAATCTTGTAGTGCCTGCTTTGCATATCCTTTATTGTTGATAATAAAATTATTTTTAATATTTAAGATATTAATTTGCAATGTACTTTTTCTTTATGCAATTTTTGTATTGTCATTTATGCTTGAAGCTTCTATGAACTTTGTTAGTTAAAATTCTTAAAATCTAACTTGGAAAAATTTCGAATACTAAACAGAAGCAAATGGGTCAAACTATATGTCATTCGAAAGAGCTCGTTGAGTGAGTCGAATGTTGAAAATTTTTCGTGTGGACTCATACAGAGGCTGAGATATAAGTCCGCGAAGATCGAAAAACTATAGGGAGCTCAATTTTGGGGTGAAAAATTCGAATATGCAAATAATAGTTTATTCGAAAAAGCTCCTCGAGCTGAGTCGAATGACACCAAAATCAACTCGAGATCTTGATTCTAAGCCGAGATAATGCGACTCAAAATGTTCATCGTAAACCTACGGGCATCGGCGAGGAGTCAACGGTCGCTGGATTCTGGGCTTGTGACTTAATCCTATTCCTTTCATCGATAAAGTGGGCATGCCTGGCTTCCTCCGATGCAACACAAACCTCCACGGAGACCATAGGCAAGGAGCTAAAACAAACAAGCATAACTTTGTCAAATCAAGTCAGATTTTGTTGATTTTGTTGTTCGAGGAGTTCTTTCGAATTAGCTTTTATTTGCATATTCGAATTTTTCACCTCAAAATTGAGCTTACTCCCCCCTGGTTTTTGATCTTTGCGGACCATATCTCAGCCCCTGTATGAGTTTCACCTTTCGACTCAACACGACGAGCTCTTTCGAATGACATATACATAGTTTGACCATTTTGCCTTTTGTTTAGTATTCCGAAATTATACCATCTAACTTAATTTTAGTTTGTTTTATTTACATATTCTGACCCCTGTGAATGTTTAATTCAAGTTTGGTTAGTTTATTTGCTTAAAATGCCAGCCTATATTTATAATTGTGCTTCCCCTATGTTTCATTTTTTTATAATGATTGAACGTGTTTTGGCTACTGTTTTTGCTAAAATTTATGAAAATCAAGGCAAAAAGTTTGGTGTTATCAGTACAATTATTGTGGTAAAAGTTTATTTTTAATTTGATTAATTTTTTAAAATCTTAGTGGGGGATAACCTTAATCTATTGTCTTTACATTTATATTACAACAAGAATGGATACTAACACGTTCAGTCATCCAATGGTTTATACAACATTAACAAGCATTTATAATTCACAATTACTTATTTATTCCCCCTTTATTTTCTTGTTTTTTGGAATATGCATTTCTATAGCTGATTATTTTTTAATTCTTCAAAATCGAAAAATAAAATCAAATTTGTAAGCACAGGACCGGACCTTGAATTTAGATACCACAAAATCGGTTGGAGTATACTTAGCAACTACCTTTCTCGTTTAGACATAAACAAAACCCCCATGTTTCGATAACTAGTAGCTTTATGAGCATCTTTCAGTCCAAATGGGGTATCTAAAATTGAGGTCCGAATTTTGGTACATTTGTAAACACATATAAAATTAATTATTAAAGTTTCAACTCTACAACAAACTCTTACAGTTTAAGTAAGAGTTATCAAACTAAACAAAACATTCTTCTAATGCGAACAATTTTTCCTCTGGATTTTTCTTATTCCTTTGTTTTTGCATTATTTGATATTTTATCGACCATTATACGATACAATCGCGATGACTACAACATGCTTGCTTATGTCCGAAACTTTCAAGCCATAATATTGGTAACTATATCATATAGCTTAACTTGTTATTTCTTAATTGAGTGGACGCATTTGGATCTTTAAACAAAGTTCACTAACAAGATTTTCAATCAAGGGAACAACATTCCCTTGATTGAAAAATAGTCATCATTTTAAAATCATCATTTTTTATAAAAAAATATAGAGAAGTGCGAAAATCACAAAATTACAAAACCGAAATAAAAAATTTGTCGTAGACCGGAAAGAAATACTGTGGGAGATAAATGGAATATTACAAAAAAAATTTTTAATTTAAGTTACTTTTCATTCATGCTATTATAACATTAATTGTATATGACTATTTTTTGAAGAAACAGAATGAAATCAAGAAGAATTTTGTTAAAATAAATATGAATATTAGTTCAGAAATATATTTTAAAAATTTAAATCTTGCTTGGAAATAAATTTTTGTATAATTATTTTTAATTAAAATTTTATTTTATTTATTAATTAATTTTTTTTGTTATTTACAAAATGGTAGAAAATTAGAAAAATATTAGAAATTGTTAAAAATAGGGCAAAATATGGCAAAAGTATAAAATACATATACTACCGACATAAAAATGAAATTCCCGATTTCGGTAAATCGGGATCCCGACTCAAAAACTACGGGAATTCCCGATTTTCGACGATCGGGACGGCTCTTTCCCTGGTAAGATTCGAAAGAATGATTCCCCCTTATCCAATAAGTTTTTATTTTTTGTTGAAATATAATTTGTGGGTAATTTTCGGGTTTTCTCGTGAACCGTGATCACTTTCTAGTGTATTATCGGTGTAATCTTATAATTTTCCGGTATTTTTCTTTATCTTTCGATTGGTTTGTAAATATTTTATTATACACTTACCAACCATAACAATGAAGATAATTTTTTAATTTTTCATTTTATTTTTTATTTATCATTCAAAATAAATGATAAATTTTTATATTAGGAGGCAAAAACTTCAATATGTAAATGTAACGTAATTAAATAAACAAAAATATCTCTCTATTAAAATTAAAAAAAATATAACAATATTTCTATACATATGTATTATCACATTAAATTAAATAAACAAGGAAGCATAATAAAAATAACAAAGAAACTGTCAAATCACTAATTTTATTTTAGAATTTATTATCAAAGTCAGATGTTAAAGAATGGAATTCATGTAGGTTTTAGTTATTCAAATGAGTTTCATGCTTATGCATAAATAGTAAAATAATATCTTTATAATGAAATCATTATAACCCAAAAAGAAATTTCTTCATAATTACATAATGCTAAACATAATTCCAAACATATTTTTCATTTTTTGGCCCCGAGCTATAAAAACCTTGCAAAAATAAACCAAATATATTTTTAGGACCCAATAAGACTGATTTTAATAAAAAATATTTATAATAGAAACGAATGTAAAAAAATGTCGGGGTTAATAACATTCTATCCAGAGTTTCTGTTTGTAAAGAGTTTCTGTTTGTTTTTTTTTCAGTTACCACACTATTGTTATGTCTTAGAATTCTATAATTCTTCTGATCCCCTTCTCTTCTATTTCATCTGATAAATCTAAAAATGATAATCATAAAATAATTTTTAGTGAAATAAAAGAATGAAAAATTTACTCATTTTCTTTGTCTTAAGTATGGCGTTAGTTTCAATTTACAGCCAAGTTTGTACAGTATTTTTCCCGCAAGTTTGTCCATTAATCTGTAAGGCCTGTCATGGGTGTTTAGCTAAAGACAAATTGTGCGAACCTGCTATTGATTTTTGTAAATTTTTTGGATGTGGGTGCAATTCGTTACCTCCGGTACAATAATTGAAAGTAAGTTTTATGATAAAAATTTCAAAATAAATTTATTATTTAGAAAAAATCTTTTGTGTGCGTTTTTGAAGAAATAACGATAAGATTTTTTGACAAGATTATCAATTCATAATATACAATAATTATTAACAAGAAATAAATTTATTGTAACATTCTATCGTCTATTAAGAAAATTATTTCTTAGGAAAATTAAACGTTTTCTAAGTATAATTAGATAGGTATATTATGATGAGCAGGAAGTCACATTTTTCTAAAATCCCCCAAAAATTGAGAACATTACTCATATCCAGAACAAGATTGAAAAAAAAAACCAAGAAAATCTTGGTTTCTCGACTAAGAGTATAAATATTAAATTTACATATATCTTTTAACTTATCATTGTCACATTACTTATACATTTTTAAACACTAATTATTAAGGATAGTTGAATAATGTCAAATAATATTATGATTATGCTATTTTTTCACTCTCGAATGAATGTGAATAATCACCTTATTATAATGTTTGCTGAGAGAAAAGAGTGTTATTTAACTTGGGTTTTCTTCTCTCTATACATATTTAATGATTTCATTTATCTTTGAAAAAAGCATGTCAGAAAAAAAAACAATTTCGCAAGTTTCGACCTCGAATAAATATTTTTAATTAATTATCAATTTAATAATAACTTTAGATTTCTAAGACTATCAATTTTGTTAATTCTGAAGGCTTAAAGAAATTAGAGCTCAGTGAATGTGCCTCAGATGCTCTTATCGAATATGTGATTAAATTTGTTATACCTAAAATTAAACTGGAAATAAATCAGAAATCGAATCTAATAATATTTATGTAAATATTTTATTACATATAAATAGTTTATTTTATATTATTATCTAAAAATATTTAATAAAACGATTTTTATATTTAATTAAATTTACATATGTAGATATGTATATTCTATGATATTTTAATTTATTTACCAATTTATAATATTAATGGTTATCATATGATTTAATTTTAGCACCTCAAAACATTGGGTCCCTCCCGCAAGCGAGAACTGGGGACGCGTGCTGGAACCACTTTTACTAGTTAATTAAAATAAAAAGTAATTTTATTTTTAATTTATTTAATTAAAGGACATTTAGGATTTTACAATTAAGGAAGAGAAATTTAATTAATTTCCCATATAAAGTCAATTAATTTATCTTGTTTATTTTATTTATAAAATAATTATTTTGAAAATTTATTTTAACGTAATTATTTTGAATTTTATTTTTAAATATGTTTTAAGAACATAAATATTTAAAACATAAATAAAATAATTAGAACATAAATATTTTCAACTAATTGTGTTACTCGAGATATTGCAGTGTATAATTGACCATGTGCAAATTAGTTATCTCTGAAATAAATTCTAAGTTAAAAAATATATAATTAATTATTTCTCATTCAAAATTTTTATAATCATAATCGCTAAATAAAATACTTGCATTTTACAAAAATACATATATTTTTGTTTTTATATTATTATACTAACTTAAATTATTACACTGTTTTGTGAATTTTAATTTATTAATTTAAATTTATTTATATTTTAAAGCGTTTTTATATGTATTTACATAGGTATTTATTTCACAATTAAATTAAATAAACAATTTATGTTGTTTTAAGAGGAACAGGCAACTTTATTTGAAGAAGGATTATTAAGAAAAAGTTGAATATCTTTTTTATTCTCTCTATTAAAGTTCTTTCAAAATATTATGTATTACTTTTATAATTTATATATTAAGGTATAAACTAATATTTTTATTTAGATGATTCGAATTACTAAATTAATGCTTAATTTAGATTTATAGTTTAAATTTTTAATATTGTAGAGGATCTGATAAAATCCCAGTTTTTTGAACACGACTTATTTTTGACACAACCATAAATATATTTTTGAACATTTGTCGCCAAAGCTTATAAGTAGATGACACCCTTCTTTTGCTTAGATTCTCAATTACAGTTTATCAGCAGAATAAATATTTTGACCACAATATTTTTATTTTAATTTGCATTATTTTATATTATTTTTTGATGACTTTAACGTTAACTTACTTTTAAATTATTTTTAATTTTTATAACTATTTTATGAGATTCTACTATTTGATTTAATATTTATCCATGACTTAATTCGATTATTAATTAAATATTTTTGTCTTATAAAGCAAATCTATAAAGTTCGTTATAATTTTACAGTATTTATATTTAAATTTTTGGGTAGTTTATACAAAATATTTTATTTAAAACATTCGAAGGCTGATCCAATAAAACATGTTCATACGAATTTAAATTTTTATATTAGTTGCATAATGTATTTTCTAGCATTTAAAATAAAATTATCCAGTAAAATTTTTTTTAATTTATTAATTTTTTGCCTAGAAGAATTGGTTATTATATTATTTAATTTTATAAAATAATGCGACAGTTTCCTCTGCATTTAATAAATTTAAATATTTTATAATTTAATTATTTAAATATAATTGTATTAATTTCAATAATGTTTCATAAATTTATCATAAATCTGCGCATTGAAGTATAAAATCTAAGCATGATACTTTGGATATTTTGAGAAATTTTTTAGACAAAGTACATATTTTTTATGTATGATTAATAATAATTGTAAAGCTCTCGGTTGAATTTTACTTACATTCTTTAATTAATTTTATAAAACATGTTTGATGATCTATCATCTAAGCCATAAAAAAGCATAATTAATTGAAGAATATATTTAATAAAAATCCAAAAATAATCATTAATATACATAATAAATGTTAATTTGGCAAATGTAAAGGAATGGCTAATTGTAAATTGTTTAAATTTATAAATTATCTATTTTTATTTAGTTCAAAACAATTATATATATATTTAAGTTGTTCATTATAAATAAATGCCAATGCTTCTGAATAGTGATGCGTCAATCAGCTTAGTTCTTTATTTAATTTAATATCAAATAAATAATTAAACCTATTATTAAATAAGTTTTTTTTAATTTTGACGTCTTTATAGAGCACATTTTGTCTTACTTAATTAAATTATAAACAAACAAAAGAATAATTATAATTTTAATAATAATCTTAGTGATACAAGAATCATTCAGATAAGTTTGCATTTTATAAAATATGTATAATAAATTAAACTTAATAAAATAATTATTTTACAAATAATACACATTTTTTAATTGAATGATACTTATGTTTATACCAATTATAAATTCGTTGTTGTTAATTAAAATAAATATGTATATTTTTTCTTAATTTTTTAATTTTTCGTTCATTACATTCCTTTACCTCAACTATAAATTTGTTTAATTATAAGTAATAACCTCAAAGCATATTCAAAAAATTCACGAGTAAAAACGTTATTCTTTTAAACTAATTAACATCTAAAAAATATATTTTTACCTTTAATTTTTTATTCTACATATGTATTCGTATTTGTTATTCTTGCTTTTTACATTGTTGAGGACAACGACAACATTTTTCAACTTCTTCGGATTTTTGACGAATTGTTTATTTTTATTTATTTTTCCTTTTATGTTAAAAATACAGGCTCTCTTAACACTTTCAAAACAATATCCCCATAATTGCAAACTATTTTAATAGATTTACTACTTTTATGTAGAACTTGTTAACTTTTATATTTAAAATGTTTAATTATTTATTTTTATTCCAATATTGTTTTTAGTTAATAATTTATATACATATGACTATGTACATAGACGTTAAGTCATAATAACCAACTTAATAGATCTTACTTTTAAGCATATTAATTCATCAAATAAAAAATTATTTTATAAAAAGTATTTAATAAAAAATTATTTTAATAAAATTATTTAACGAAAATGTAGAAACCATTTAAAGATTTTTATTAATAGCTTATGCTTAATTCAAAATACCGATGTACTTTTTCATATTTGTAGACAATTAATTAAAAATTTATTGTTAAATAAACAATTTTTATGTATTAAATATTTAAAAATTTCGTTATTATGATTAGTTTAATCTTATTAGCTTGGTTAGTGCATCATTGTTTACACAGTTAGTGCAAATATTGAAATAAAATAGCATTTTATGTTTTTTGTTTAATAGAAGTTTTTATGAGATTCTTTATGAAATTCTACTATTTAATTTAATGATGCATAAGATTGGTTTGGTATAGGGCTCGGGTCGATAACAAATATCATTTGGATAAATGTACTATTTATCCAAATTAATGTATAATTAAAAAACTAACTTTAATTTCATTATTTTAAATAATTATAATTTTTTAAATTGTGTGTATTGAATTTTTATAATTATTTATTAATTTTTTATTATTCATTAAACATCCTTCATTAATCAAATACAATTTATAAATATATTCTGGTTATTAAAAAAATTTAATAATAAAAATGCATGTATTCATTGTTATTTTTTTAAGAATGGCCTTCGAATTTTTATGCTTCTTATCTTCTGAACGCAAGGAGTTGCTCAGCTTCGCAAAGTTTTAAAAATAATTATTATTATTATTATTATTATTATAGTTTATTAAGTATTATTTTTAACTTAAAATATGCCTTATCGAGAATAACTATAATTTCCATTGTTTTTTTAGAATAAATGTTACAGCTCTATTTTCAGAACTACATAGTGTGAGGCATGAAGTTTTTGATCATTTCATATTATGTATACAATATATTTAGTTGGTTTTTAAAATTTTATTTCAGATTATAAATTATATTGTGTATAAAATAAAGTTATTAAAATAAAGTTATTATAAAATTAATACAAAATATTAATTGAGAGTTTCTATTTAATTTATATTTTGTAGAAAACAGACTTTTAAATAATTAATTGATGAGGATATAAATAATAAATTTTAGAATTGCAGAAAAATTATTTTTATTGAATTTTACATATTTTAAAAATGATAGAATTTAATTTTGTAATTTTGTTAATTTATTAAAATTTTATTAACTACATTTTTACAATTTATTATATTTTGATATATTTTTATTCTATAAGTTAAATTAATTTGAGAAGTATAATTAGGCAAATTTTATTTGTTGATATGTACATAATACATCTTTTTTATTGTTAGCTTTTATATTTTTATTCATTTAATTATTTATTTTATAAATTAATAATTTAAGATTATTATGTTTCTAATAATTTTAATAAAATTAAAAATTTTAAAAATATTTTAGTTATAAAAGTTGAGTTATTTTAACATTAATAAACAATTTTAAAATAAATGTTATTGATTCAAAGAAAATAGTAAAAATAAATAATAAAATTGGAGAATGGTGAGTGGGTCCTAAGGAGAGAAATTTGTGTTGCTGTGTACATCCGTAGTGATGGCCTTTATAAAAACCCCCATATGGCAGAACTTATGTTACACCTAAATATACATATATCTCTCATGTTGGCCTGAGCCACCTCTCTACACCAACATATTCTATATATAGTTAAAACAACTTTACGTTGCAATAAAAAAATATTTAAGCCGAGATTTGACAGGTTTATTGAAAACTCGACCTCGGGTAGAATTTAGACCTCGACATCTGCTTTATTAGCCTTTTTAATTTTTTTAGAAAAACTCGACCTAGCCCTACTTTGTTTTACACAATTATAATTATATCTTAAAATTTTATTTATTCATTGAAATATGTAATTACTGCTATAATTAAATTATTAAATATTTAATTAAATATCAAAATTTTTAAAATGAATTCTACTTTTTGTACATTTCTTTAAAAAATTTACTTTTTACTTTTAAAAATAAAATCTTTGTTTTGTAATAATGGAGAGAAAAAATAAACGTTTTATTATTCAGACAAAAATTTACAAATTTGCAAATATTTTATAGAAATAAAAAAAATCTAACACAAAAACTTGGATTATAATATTATAGAATTTGTTTACAAATCATAAAAGCAAAGAAAAGATAATAAAAAAATCTAACTCGATCAGCGTCCCGGTAGCTCAGTTGGTAGATCGTACGTGGTGAGCAGAAGCGCCTAGCAATAACTGCCAGGAGGTCGCAGGATCGAAGCCTGCCCGGGATTAAACTTTTACCTCGCTCTTACTTTAATTTAAATATTTTTTCTTCAATTAATAATTTGAAATTTTTACATATTAATCAATCTAAAAATAAAAAAAAACAATAAAAAGTTACCATGGAAATATAAAAAGATAAATTAGAAAGTTACTATAAAACGTTCTAAAAAAGTTACCAGTTCGTTCTTAAAAAGTTACAAATTTATTCTAAAGGTAATAATTTAGAAAAAATCATCGATAGTCCCACTAGACTAGTGAAAGCTAACAATAAAGCAATATGCTTCCATAGTAACTTTTATTATTGTTTTTCATTTTTAGATTTCTTAATGTTTGTAAAACTTTTTATTTCTTTTATTTTTAATTTGATGGTTGAGAAAAAAGTATTCTAATTTTAAATAAAAAACACATTCATTTCTTTAAGAATACAAATTTATTTATTTAAATAGTCGTTGTTAGTTGAGTTTTCTTGTTAGTTGACACCTTCACTAAAATTCTACAATGTTGGTAGAATTTTTAGTGAATTAAAAAAGAATTTCGACATGTTTTTGTCATTGTTATGGACTTACTCATTTGTTATGAACAGATCTAAAAATGACTAATACATAAACCCAAAATTACAAAACTTTTATAAAACTAAGAAAGAGGTACGTGAAAATCAACTCGTACCTTCGTGCTTTGTCATTATTTTTGAAAGAAAAGTAATAGAAACATCTATAACTTCTTGAGCTCCTTTAAAAGATATGTGTAAAATTTTAATTTAAATTTTTAAATATTATAATTTTTTGATTTAGACAGTAGTAGGCTTTTGTATAATTTTTAATCCATTATCACTCAACTAATTAATAAAATGGTTAAATATAAACTTTATTACTTCGAACGAGGTTTAGGCGAAGCCATAAGACAAAGGCAAGCTTTTTAAATTTTCAATTCCTACAGCATATTGTTTTTTAGCTTTCACTATGCTGGCGTGACTTTCGAAGATATACGGTTTACACATGAAAAATGGGAGGCTGAGAAAAAGAGTAAAATTAAATTTAAATAGGGAAATTGTATTTAATTATTCTAAAATATTTCAATTTATTTTTAGAATTTTTCTATGGAAAATTGCCAGTCTTAGAAGTTGATGGTAAGCAATTGAGTCAGTCTGGTGCAATTCTTCAATATCTGGCTAATAAATTTGGTGATAAAATAATTATTTTAAAAATTTATATTTTTAAATTTAAAGGTTTGGCCGGAAAAGATGAATGGGAAAAGGCTAAAGTAATTGAGATTTTTAATTTTTATAAGGATGTTTATAACGAACTATCACCTTACACTTTAACAAAATTAGGCTATCGTGAAGGGGATGCGGTTAGTATTTCCTCCCTTCTCCCCTTTTTCTAAAATATTTTAAGTTCAGGATCACCTTAAAAAGACTGTATTTTTGCCTGGGACTGAAAGACTTTACCCAATCTTTGTCAAACTTCTGGCCCAATCTAGTTCAGGATTCTTTGTATCTTCTGGTTTAACATATATTGACTTAGTATTGGCTGAATATTTTGATTTGACACGCAAATTAGAGCCTGACGTTGTCGGAAAATATAAGGAACTGAATGATTTTATTGATAAAGTGTATGCTGTGCCGAAACTGAAGGCTTATTTGAGCACTAGGAAAGGCTGAAAATGAGATATAAGCATGAGACATAAACACAATTTATATATTTGGAATGAACAAAGAATTTATTTGTTAAAAAATTTGTCTGATAAAGTTTAAATGAGAATTAATATTACACGTAATTTAAATGTTTTTATTTTATTTTGCAAATCTCTGATTAATTTTGTGATAAAATCTTTAAAAATTTCTCTAAAATTTGTGATAATATGCCTTCTATGTTTCTTCGATGTAACTATAGATATTTTAATAAAAAAATTCAAGAATAATAATTATAAATAGGACTAGCTCTACAATAAAAATAAAACTTGAAACAAAATTTAAATTCTTTAAAATAAAAATTAACTTAATAAAATAAAAGTACTTTATTAAAAATTACAAAATTATTTGCACTTTAGTTGTTTATTTCCGGGCTATCTAGTGTCAACAATATTTTTATTATTTCACAATGATATCTGATAAATTTTGTCGGTTATTTCCTAAAGTGCAACTTAATTTAAACAATAATAAAATTTTGTCTGTATTTATAGAATAATTAAAAGTCAAAATTAAAAACTTTAATAATTATTAATCTACATAAAAATAAATATAAAAAAATATTTAAATTACATACTTTTTCTTAACAAAATTAAAATAATGGCTATTCCAAGCCAACAAAATATTTTTAATTTTATTATTATTCAATTTATTCTATTTTTGTTGATTAAAATAAATTTTGTTTTTTCTGTTAATGGGAAATTTGAGGGAAGTACAAGTAAAGTTGGAGAAGAAATTTGTGAACAGAAAAGAGACACGGAAGGTGGGATTTGTTTAGATAAAGTTGTAAAGGTTGCCATAATGTCCTGATTTTATCCAAAATATTAAGTTTGCCCGGTCGCCTCGAATGTCGGATCGACTTAAAAGGCAATCTAAAAATCATTAAAGCAAGATTACCCATAAAATATATTTAATATAATTTTAAATTTAAATTTAGACGATCCATTAATTAATGATTTGAAAGAGACTGATAATTATTTTAAATCGGTATCCGAAAATTATCATCAGCTAAATATATTAAGTAACGAAATTAAAAACATGGCACTATTAAATCCAGATATTCCTAAATTCTTGGCAAATGCTAAAAAATTTTCGATGTTTATTGAAGTATTTAATGAATTTAAAAATGTAATAAATTTGGAGAAAAATTTGAAAGATAAAAAATTCAGGAAAAAGCTTGAAGTAGGTAAAGGGTTGGTTATTCGGGTAGGAATCGAATCACCTTTCTGTTAACGCCAAAATTGGCTGAGGTTTTGCCTTTACTTTTTCTTCGTTATAGATGCCTTTACAATTATTATATTATATTTTAATTATTTATTTATCCACAGAGCTATTATCCACAAGGTTTTTTCTGTTAATGGGAAATTTGAGGGAAGTACAAGTAATAAGAGAATTTAAATTTAAAAAATATTTTCACGAGCTTTTGATTTTATTCTCGAATTTCTTTTGTAATTCTAAAATTTTTTTAGGTAAATGGATTTATATTTAAATAAAAAAAATTATTTAAAAAAATATTATCTTTAAAATTTCAGATTCTCAATGCCCATTTAATTGTTTTGGAAGAAAATAATTTTTTAAAATTAATAAAAGTTGTCGAAATATGTGTAGATATAGAAAATTTAAATTTTAGAGAATTTAAATTTTTTAATATTTACGAAAATTTAAAAGAAAATTGTGAAAAATTAAGAACAAAATGTGATGAATTTAATATTGAATTTATGAAAGAAAAGAAGAAAGTTGAGGATTTTAGACAAGAAATTGAACAATTTTTTGAAAATTGGGAAGAGAAATTGGAATTGAAAATAATGAAATTTGTTCAGAAATTGAAAGATAAAGTTAAAAATAAATCTACAAATGATTATGTCAAGTTAAATTAAATTTTAAAAATTTCAAAATTTTATTTTCTTATTTTTTTGAAAATTTCTTTTTTAATGAATACAATATTTAATTTTATTTAAAAATATTATTTAAATTTATGATATAAATATTATACATTTTTTATCAATTTTTTGTTTTGAATATGTATTTCTTGATTTAATGATTTGATTTTATCCCTTCGCGTTCGGGGTATAACCTAGTTTCGGCAAAATGTTTATTTATTATTTAAATTAACTAATAAATTTTAAATTTTATTTCTTTTCTGAATTAATAAAGATAAATTGATCGATATTTTTAGAAACAAAAAATTTTAATTATTTTGATATTTATTTCCTTCGTTTCCATCCCAATAAAATTTTACTATTCATGTAAGCTATTCAATAATAAATAAAAATTTAAAGGAAAAAATTTTTAATCATAAAATTTACAAGATTGAAAGTCAAAATTCTAAAAAAATTTTTATTATTTAAAAATTATTATTTTTAAAAACTAACAATGTTTACAAATTGATATAACAGAGGAATAAAGATAAGCAATATTAAAATTGATATTTTGAAATTAGCTTCAAAAATAATTTTATTATTCTAACATCTTTGGCTCTCGGCTTCAAAGAATATTTTACTTTATTTCCTCATTTACTCCACGTATTCCACGTCTAAGAAAGAATATTAAAAACACTTATTTTTATTTTTAGAAGGAAATTCAACGTTGGAATTAAGCAAAAAGAGAGTTTTAGTCCTCAAAAAATTCTCACATAAATTGAGGTCAAATTTTATAAGAAATCATTCATAAATATTAATTTTGAAAAATAATTGAATTAAATAAAATATTTAATTAAAATGAACAATTTGCTTGTTATTTTAGTTGTATTTTTGATTTTTGCTTCTGTTGAAAGCCAATCAACTTACGATATTCTTTATAATTGTTGCAAAACTCTTTGCTCTACTCAATGTTTTTTACAATTTGGTTTATGTTGTTCCACTTTCCCTCTTTCTATCAGTGCATCAATAGAATTATGTGCCAAAGCAGGAATTTTTTGCTAAATAAATACAAGGTAAATAAATATATTTTAAGTTAGATAAAATTAATTTTAGATAATATTATATATACCGACCACTTTATAGGATTTATTTTAAGAAATATTTGAACGTGGATTTGGAAAATTTATTGTCTAAAAAATAATAGGGTCCCTTCAAGGAGTAACTGTCATACATATCAAATATTCTGGGATATGTCTTAGCCAATTAATTAATATTTAAAAAATAGAATGATATTTAACATAAAAATAAAACTTAATTAAATTGGACACCTTTAATTTTAAAGTAGCTCAACGGGAATTTGTAAAAATTTAACAAATTGAAAAAATAATGGGAGCCCTTCAGCGAGTAAATGTCACATCAAATATTTTTTGATTTTCTGGGTATGTCATGTCCAACTACTTGT